CTGGTGTGTGAATGCAAACATTATGGTATTGCAAATACGATATTTGTTTCTGTTACAGTTGGGGTGTTTTAAAAGGAATTTGTGGTAAGTGGCTTATTCTGACAAGCCTTTCTTTATGGAAGAGCATTTCCCATTTTGCTACCTGCCTTCTCAGACTGCAGTCACTTAGCTGTGACTAAGACATTTACTGAGATCCTGAATAGAGGCAGTGATAGAAATGAGGTTGAGGTGGGAGATGAAGAGCCTTCTGACAGACAGGCTGCTTGACCAACCTTTCCTTACATAAATATTTATGTAAGGCAAAATGCTATTGCTTGAAAATAAAAATAGATTGGACGGTATTTACACAGGGACTTCCAGATGGTCTGCTTATATCCGTGGAGACATATACAACCATTCTCCCAAAGTCTAACTATATATCCTGCATGGTGGTATCCTGGGTTCAGTTGTGAATTCCATCAGGCAGAACAAAAAGGTACCCCTACCCTATGATGATCTTGTCTGGACTTTCTGTTGTACCATCACATTTTAATAGCTGTAGTAGTCCAGAAGCACCACTGCATAAGCCTGAGGGTAGGAATGCACCTTGTATAAGTCAAGAGATAAAAGATAGCCTAGAACTGGCACCTTACCCAGCTGGACACTGTCCTGTGAGGTTTTGAAATTGTTTGGGCCCGATTCTTGTCCTAATTGTACTTCTATATATCAGAAATCAGCAGCACGACCTTCACTGAATCGAGATCAGAGTTGGCCCCTTCTGAACAGCAATCCATCAGCTAGCAGGAGTGAGTCAAGGCTACTGCTCCAAGTGATTCACCAGCTAAAAGGTGCTTCCAGCTTCAGATCCTGCTGGATTGCTGTAACTGGCATTTTTATATTCTCTCCTGTCAGTAACAGAGCTGTTTGATTCCAGTTTTTAAAACAGTAAGAAGATGCCATTGTGAATATGCCGCCTCTTAACTTTGTGGAAAGAAAGATACATTTTCCTAAAACAAACTTGACAAGTAAAGTAGATGACTGGAGAGCTGCTGATTTCAGCCCCTTGAAAAGACAACAAAAGGCAGCGGAAGGAAAAGGAGAGTAATGTGCAAGATATCAGCAAACCTTGCTGCTATAGCTCTGCAGCACTGGATAGCATTACAGAGGTACCAGTGAATGAAGCGCTAACCAGAGACTTCTAGAGTCACAAGCTAAGCAATGTAGCAGATATTCTCTGTAGTTGAAGAGTATTTTCCTCATGCTAACTAAAAATCTACGCAAAGTTGTGCCTTATGACCTGTTGTGCCTCTGCTGAGGCTGTTGGCTCCTCCACAAAATAAAAATAATTTAGCAAAGACTTGGACTAGATGGCTCTAAGGATACTCTTTAGCTTCTTTGGTCTGCAACCAGTAATAGCCCCATCAGAGACCCTGCTAGAAGAGTTACGCATTCAAAGTTTGAAAATGTGATGAGGTAGACAATTCTACCTAGAAACACTTATAAATTGTTCCACAAAGAAAGATTAATTTGGTGTCGATCCAGTAGAAGCCCAAAATGTTTGGGACCTTGCCTCCCACAGGGACTTTGATACACTCATCTATCCATCCATCACAATTCTCTTGCGCTTTAGGCAATTAAGACAAATCAACGTAAAGTACACAAAACGTTTTCCAATGCAGTCTAATCTTAACCTTCCTCTCTGAACAGCTGCTTTAAACAACTCCAGACTTGCTCTTTAAATAGATCAGAACAAAAGAAAGGCTTCATAAATGTCTGGGCAAAAACTATTACCCCCACCCTTGTGTTGAGTGCAAGGAGCAGGAAAACCATAGATAATCGCCTTGCTTAACAGAAGCATTACAAGAAACGTCGCTGTTTCTCACACACACTAATAAAATATCCTTCGTCTCTGAGGCACTGGTACTGTGCAGCTTTTAGGTAATAAAGACTGGCTGTCCACCTTGGCTCCCACTGAACATTACTCCATACTGCAGTAAGTCCCACTGGCAGAGCACGTATTTACTGGTCAAATACCTGAAGGGAGCTGCTGCTGGAAAGAGATCAATATACAGCGGGAAAGGCAGGATCCTGCCCTTACGTGTAAGGGCATTAGATCATATGCATTGCCTACGGAGACTTCAAGAATAAGAATTTAGGCATGGGAATTTGCTTCCCCCTTACTCCTCTTCTCCCATGAAAGAGGTGTTGAGACCCTTACATATGAAGCAAGTCAGCAGCAAAGGGTTCTCTGACTCCGCTTTAATAGCACAGACTAAAGGCTAAGTTCATTCTGCTACTGACCAAGTGATTGAAGTCAAAAAGGAAAGCACTCATAAGCAACAGCACACTTGCCACTCCCCTGGCCTTGGGCAAACATTTTCCTTCTTGGCTTATGAAATTCATCTCACCAAATCCTCATGAGCTGGTCTGGATAGAAAAGGATCCCAACGTCTGAATTAAGATGTTAATCAATATCCAAGATTAAATTACTTTATTATCCCAGCACCGACTGGTGATCATTCATCTGTGATAGAAAACCAGTGGAGAAGTATGTTCTCTTTTCATCCTAGCATG